TTGTAGTTTTCGCCGCTGGCAAGAGCTTTGCTCTGGTCCGTGCCGCAGCTCTCTTGCATGGGCACATTTCCTGCCCATTTGCCAAAGAGCGTGATATCCATGACGATGCGTTGCGGACCGATCATCTTGCCAAAGTCGCAGGCGTTGGAATTGGCGAATCTGGCAGTGGGAGTGCCCCAAGTGGATGGATCCAACGTTTGGCTCGACGCATCCCGAAGACGAGCGGCTGAGGATGGCAGGGAAATGTCGGAAGCGTAGGGAGAAGATTGGGAAGCTGAGGAGAGTTCGAGACCGATCTCGACGTCTCTGTCTCGGATAGAGTGGCTGCCGCTAAAAGGATTGCCATTGACTCCGTACGCGGAGCCCTGTTGTTCCGGGGAGGAAGAAGCAGCGGATGAGGATGCAGCGCTCGTCGAGATGATCGGCTCGTCGATCTCGATGCTGGCAGGGATAGACGCGTCGACAGAAGCTGTCACATCGGTGTAAGCCTCCGTCGAATTTGGGCCCCTGAACTCTTTGGGAAATTCGGTCGAGTTGCGGCCCCAGAACCAGATGGATACGCCATCTTCCGGCGTGAAGCTCATGGCAAAGACGCCGCCTCCATTGTCGTTGAACTTGCTTCCGAAGCTGGGTCCCCGCTCGTTGGTGTCCTTGATTGCACAACCCGCGTTGCCATTGGCGAACGCATCGCAGTCGGCAGCGCCGGCCAACATCCTGCCCGAATAATCAGTGGCCAATCGCGTGTTGCCCGTTCCAGCTACGGTCGTCGAAGGTGCGATGGTGCATCCAGGCTTGGTGTGCACCGTCATCTGATTGGAATCGTCGTCGCCAACGGATTCTAGTACGTCTATCTCGCTGTTCAAAGGCCAGTCGTCGCCGACGGTCCACAGCGCAGGCCAAGTCCCGCAACCGACGGGCATTTTGACCACGTCGAACACGATCAATCCTTCGTTGTACGTCCTGTTGCCTTGAAATCTGACGCTGGGTCGATCTTGACCAAGGGACAGCTCTTCCGAAGAGACCTTCATGCGCGCTGCAGTGCGGTTGGAAGCGCTGATCAATCCCAACTTTTCCGCGTCGGATTGAGTTTGAAAGGAGACTTGGCCATGGGTCGGGTCTGGAAGGGACCAAAATTCGAATCCGTCGAAGAAATTTTCGCCGCGGTGGGAGTCGTGCAAGGTCCAGATGGAGCTTCGGGAGCTGGCACTTGACGTAGCGCTCGAGCTGCTGCTGCTGCTGCCAGATTGATGATTGGTGTGCGAGTGATTGGAATCGTCGTTCTTGTCGCGGCTGCCGTCTCTGTTCTGCAAGGAGAGGGACTGGCGGGATGGAATGACGAATGCTTGAGCGCAAGCTGCGATTGAGACCACGCCTGCTAGAACGACGAGGCTGTTGGTTGCCTTCATTTCCAAGGAAAGCAAAGGAAAGAGCTAAAGGAGGAGTTGTTTTGGGTGAGCGATTGGGTTCCAAGTTGGCGAGTGCTGCGTGGAGGGTAGCGTATGGCGGAAAGGCAGGCTGTTCGAAGAAGTTTGTGTCTAGGCGAGAGGATGGGGAGAGCATCGTTGGATGTGGGCGAATCGTGACGCCCCATCTTATACATCTACAAGACTGCTATTCGCATCGAGCAAAGACAGACGAGACTTTAAATCGAACGAGTTTTGCAAGCCTCTCAATCAGACATTAGCTAGCTGAAACATCCGTTGCTCCAATGGTAAGTGCTGTCCATCCATCGCCATGGGAGAGACCAAGTCTTGGAGCAGATAGAGTTGACCAAGAGACGATCACTGCCCACGCCGCCATCGATATCTCCGTAGCGCCTCTCGCTTGCTCCCCTTTTTTTCCCCCGACCTGTGCATCAGACATCCTTCTCAAAGCGTCGTGCGGACACATTGCCCTGCATGAAGCAGCGTCCTGTCTGTATCGCACTTGGGACCTGGCTCGCTCAAACAAGTTGCGCTAGAATGATCAGGCGGCATCAAAGAAGCGACTCGCTTGGATGACGAGATGTTGGATGTTTCAGTTGGATGGCCCAAAAGATGACATGGATCCAAAATTGGCGCCGTGTCTGCTGCGTGCGTGCATGCCGAGGCCCCT